CTTTAGAAGACCTGGGCTTAGAGAGATGGGATCATTGGTGGAGGCTGACACAAAACTAACTGGGCACTGCCCAGAGTCCCTGGGCTGGATCCCTGCGTCTTTGAGTGTATGTCTCTGATTTCAGGAGTCTTTTCCAAGAGGTTCAGATGGGGGAGGTGGCGGGAGGGCAGAAAGAATACCTTAGAGAAGTTGGCTTTTCATGGTGAGCATTCCCTTCCAGGCATTTGGATGACCATGAAGATGCTAGTGGGTGACATCATTCAAATCCGCAAAGACTATCCACACCTAGTGGGCAGGACCACTGTGGTGGCCAGGAAGCTGGGCTTCCCAGAGATCATCATGCCAGGTGGGACACAGCTGCTCTGAGCTTCCTTTGGGGCAGGGGCAGGGGAGAGGGGCCCAGCTCCCACAATCCATTTTCTTCTTAAGGCTCAACTCCTTTTTCTCTGCTTTTCGACCTGAATATAACTACTGAAAACAACTTTTGTATATACAGAAACTTCTATGAATTCACAAAATATACCCATATATGGATATATGTATGCACGTAGCCTATCCTTGCCTCACAAATGGAATCTTACTTTATGTACATGAGCCATCATTAATATGCTTTTGACAGTGCTTTGCAACCTGCTTCATCATAGCTCAGCAACTCATCATGGACATCATTTCTCTGTTACCACATGCAGAACAATTCCTTCTGTCTGCGGGAATAGTGTCACTCTTAAATTTTTAGACTATATTTTAGTGTCCAAAAAACCCATGCTTGTTGTCAAACACCATGGATGGTGTACTGTGAGGATCAGGAGCTCGCACGAGTACTTGCAGTTGTATCCATATTATTAATGATCTATAGATGTACGTGGAGGCCTTGAAGAGTGAGATCATGTAATAACACTTTTTTAAAAAAACTTTAAGAAAGTTTATTTATTTTTTTTATTTTATGTGTATGCATGTATTGCCTGCATTTAGGTAAGATTCTGGGATTCGAACCCGGGTCTTCTGCAAGAACAACCAGTGTTCTTAACCGCTGAGCCATCTCTCCAGCCTCAATAACACTCTTTTGAACTATCCCATCAGACTTGAGCCCAAGTATTAGATTTCTGCTCCCATCGCTGCCTCTGACATATTCTTTCCCCCCATATAGTGGCCCATAGGGGCCTGTACTGTCATTTATTTTATCAGCTTTACTTGAGATCTGAATTCCCACTTTCTGTTCTGATTGTACTTTATTCCTGCAAATCCCATGGCCCCTGTCCTTTCCCCTTTATCCCTAGGATAAATGGGAAGTTCCTCCATCCTGCTTTGGTACAGGAAAAGATCTGTGGGTATATATGTGTGGTTGTTATTTCTGGGCCAAGATCATTTTACTCGGTGCTTTCCTTCACCTTCCCAGAAGGTGTCACTAGAGGATGGAAGTGAAATGATTTTAACAAGAGAAAAAAATGGCCAATTTTTGACCGTCCTCCCCCCTTTCAGCAGCTGATTTCCTAGCATCCCTACCCTCCCTTGTTACCCACCTTCCCAGCCTTCCAGTCAGGTAAAAATGCCTCTTCCAAACCAGTCTGATTTTAAGTGCATTAACCATGCCTCCTCCTCCTCTCCACCTCTCTGGTTAGCAAGTGTCTGACTCTAACTCTCTTCTCCTTCCTTCTACCTCAGGGGATGTCAGGAACGACATCTACATCACTCTCTTACAAGGTGACTTTGACAAGTATAACAAGACCACGCAGAGGAATGTGGAAGTGATCTTGTGTGTGTGCGCAGAGGATGGCAAAGTACTACCCGTAAGGGACTCGGGTGCTCCAGGTGACAGGACCTGGGGATGGGGGATTGATCACAAAGATTTGCTCCTTGAAGACTAAGAGCTTGGGGATGTGGAACAATGCAACCTCAACCTTTTAGCTTGCACACTGTCCTATGGTTTAACAAAACCTTGTTCGTTCTTCTAATTCACCTAAGCAGCTTTTAAATGCATCCTTTTTCTTTCTTTTTCACGCCTCCCCCCGCCCGCCGCTTTTAGTTTGTTTGTTTGGCCTCTGAATATAAGTTAGCTTTTTGCAGTTAAAATTTAGTTTTTATTGATAAAACCCAAGCTGGTTTATTCAGACAAACATCCATGGTAAGAAAGAGGATCAATACCAAGCCTTGGGCTGGTGTGGAGGCTCAGAATGTCCTCAAAGCAGACGTTCTCAACACTTAATCCAACTCCTCAGCGTTCAGTCAGAAATTTGGGTGGAAAGTCTTATTCGAAAATTGGTCTCCAAAGGACTAGCAGCATGTATTCAAGGATGCAAAGCACATGGTTATATTTATGCAGCATATGTCCTGTACAATATTTGTCATGTGTGTTTACATCTATTTGCTGATGTTTTCCTTAAGGTTGTCAGCAGTTGTGGCCAGTATGTGGGAGGGTTTTGTTTCTGAATTCTTCTCTGAACACTTAGCTGAAAATGAGATCAGATAGGCTCTCAGCAGAAGTTTCAGCATGGGCAAATATCACTCTTAGGCCACTGTAGGAGATCAGATAGCAAAGTAGGGTGGGGGAGCTCATCAGAGAGGAGGTGTGAAGATGGGGAAGCCATCAGTTCTAGCCTTAGGGCATGGAGTGGTGGCCTAGTACTGTCACCAGCTACCTAAGAATGATTAACACCCAGAGGGGAATGGCATTGTGTCAGGCAGGTGCGGTGGTGGCAGGATGTGTTTCCATTAACACTTTTCTAGTTTACAAATGGGGAACTCAAACCGTTTTGGAGTAGAACTCGCCTTTGGTACTGCAGTTTATAGTTTCAGATATGGGCTTTGACTCCAGGCTCCAGGCCCTCTTAAGCATCACTATGGTGCCTGTACATTGAAAAAAAATCTCTAACTTATTTCCTGTTACAAGACGAGACTGCTAACTGCTTCTGTGAAATCCCCAGAAGACTCAGCATTATTTTTAAATGTAAAGAAGTCTCTACAATTGCCTTTTTGGTCCTTAAAAACCATCCTCATCAATTAATATCTACTCGAATGAAATCACAGCATCTGCTTGTTTTCCTTTTGTTGGGTGTTGAAACTTTCTTGAAAAGTAAAATAAGTTAGAAACATTCAGCTCAAAAGAACACAAAGGAAACAAGATTTTCTTTCTGAAAAGAAAAGTTGAATTTTGGGAACATATGGACCATTGCTTTGAAGTTACTTTTATCCAGCTACCTGTTGGAGATCTTTTAACCTCAGCCTTATTTTTAAAATGTTAATACCACTTACCTTCCACGTTGCCAAAGAACAAATTAGAAGGAACTGTTAACAGGCAAGCAGGCATCTAGTCCCATGTCTGATCCAGTATTCCTCCCACCTTTTCCACTCATTCAAGCCATACCCAAGGTGAACAGACATATCGAAGGTGAGCACTTCCTCTGGTGTCTAGGGACCGGAAGGGAAGGGTAACCATGGGAAGGGTAACCATGGAGCATGGTAATAATGTGTGTGTACTATTAGGAAAGTTTGGGGGGAGTTCAGTTGACTGACTCTCGAAAATTGCTAAGGAAGCCTATGGGAGGTTTCTCTTTCTCTATTTGCAGAAATGAATATACCACCTAATTAAATGTCATGTAGCACATTCAAGTGCCCCTGAGCTATATTGGTGGGTTCCTGTGAGAATGGTCCCTCTTAAGAGAGTTGTTTCCCCCCAGCTGTCATTAGCAGAACAGGCTTAGTAGGAAAAATGTGCTAGGCTAACCCCAGCCCCATTTGGGGTCTCAAGGACCTTACTCATATGCCTCACAGCAGTGAAGCAAATTGGATAGTGGGTTCTGGATGAGAAAGACAGGATTCAAGTGCCCATCTCCCTTCCTACTGTCTGTGTGATCTTGGATAGATTCTGTTAGCTATTAACCAGGAAATGTAACTCTTCTCATGGAATTATAGGTTAAACATACAGTGGCTGCAATAAATGGTATGCAACAAATAGCAGGTAATAGGAGTGCAGTGTGCAAAGAAGGCTGAAGCCACCAAGAGGAGAGGCAACTGTAAGGGACAGTACGATAGAGGGCTTAAAACACTGACTTCTGTTTGGGGGGCTTTTTTCTTTTTTTTTTTAGTAACTCTTCTCATGGAATTATAGGTTAAACATACAGTGGCTGCAATAAATGGTATGCAACAAATAGCAGGTAATAGGAGTGCAGTGTGCAAAGAAGGCTGAAGCCACCAAGAGGAGAGGCAACTGTAAGGGACAGTACGATAGAGGGCTTAAAACACTGACTTCTGTTTGGGGGGCTTTTTTCTTTTTTTTTTTAATTAAAAAAATTTTTAGAAGAAGCATTTCATTACAGCTTTAACATATTCAATAACAGTTTCCAGAGCAAAGATACATCTCTTTCAAAAGTGGCTATAAAATTTTTAGGTTTGCTGTTGAATTAATACAGTTATACAATATTGAACTCAATATAAGCCCTGTAAGACATAAAATTGAATGAGTTTTTAACCTTTAAAAAAGATCTC